GGCCGGAGAGAGACGCCGTTTAGGGTGCACGGTGCTGCAGTCGGAGGTTTGCCGGCCCGTTTCGGGGTGCTGCGAGCGTGCGGTCGTGTCTTGTCATTCCGCTAGGAGAAGACAGCAGCAGGGTGTTGTGTGGGCCGAGTTAAAGTGTTGTAATATGGCTATAAAAATGACAGGTTTCGTCCCATACATTCTTAAATCTCTTTTTGTTTCACCGTAAGTCTTTGGCCCTTCACGGTTATTGATTTTGTTTCACGTTCTGAAGGGGAGTGTGAAGAACCCTGGGGGTTGATTATCAGTATATGGAGAATAGCCACAGAGAACCTTCTGTCGTCCAAACAAAGTGTTTCTGTGTGAAGAGTTGACAATACAACTATTTTGAACCAATAAATTCTGTTCAACCTTGTTTATTCTGAACATTTCATCTTTGTACTGGAATTGATATGGAAGCGAAATTAATAACAACTATGATTGCTTTTGTTATCTCTGCTTAAAAACACAAGATTTGGACAGTTGGTATGATGAAAAATGGAAATAAAAACTTCGTGTTCCGTTTCATTAAATTCTACTTGCAGTGGGGTCTTCCTGAGACTTAGCAGCGAGTAGATTTGCTTTTTCTCCTTGTACCCAGTTCATGAGGGAGTTCACAGTGTTAAGGTGACTGGCCTCGCAGGCACGCTGCCACAGGGTGTCCCTGCTGCTGTCTGAGGCATTGATGGCAGCCCCGCGGCTCAGTAGCAGATTTATCAGCTCACTGTGTCCATATTCTGCAGCAATATGGAGTGCGGTCTTTCTCCAAGTGTTTCTGTCATCAATGTTTTTATTTTTCCCTGCTACCAGAAGAAATTTGACGATCTCTGAGTTTCCTTTGGCGTTTGCATAGTGCATGGGAGTACATCTGTCCATGTCCTTAGCCCCAAACCTCCCATTGTTAGCTAACAGGATACGGAGATGTTCTCTCGCAGCTGCAGCATGCAGGGGAGTCTTTTTCTCCTTGTCTTTTGTGTTGGGGTCAGCTTTAGCGTTCAGAACCATCTCCACCATGGTTTTGTCTCCCCTTTCAGCAGCAAGATGTAAAGGTGGTTTTGACTGTGCATCCTTCACATTAACATGGGCTTTGTGGTGCAGCAGCTGTTGGGCTGCATCTGTGTTTCCTCTTTGACTTGCAATATGCAGGGGAGTAACAAACTCCTTAGTGACAGCATTAATTTTGGCCCCAGCATTAACAAAAAGGCCAACTAATGCTCCTTTATTATGGAGAGCAGCAACGTGGAGCGGGGTTTCATCAGCTTGGTTCACGAAGTTAAGTCCCATCCCTTTGCACAGCAGAAGATTTGCAATGGAAGCAGCCCCAGCTTGAACTGCCAAGTGCAGAGCTGTGTCTGAACTGGGAGTCTTTATTCCCAGGTTTGCTCCCTCTTCCATGAGGACTTCTGCTGATTCAGCTTTGCCCGTTTCACACGCCAGGAGTAAAGGGGTGTACTGCCTTTCATTGCAGGCGTTTATATCTGCACCTCTGTCAAGTAAAGCTGCTACAACAGCAGGCAGATTTTTTTGTACAGCTCTAAAAAGAGCAGGCTCTGTTACGTCAGGTGACAGATCTTTAGAATGTTCTAGTAGTATTTTGAAGATGGATGGGTGGTTGCTGTTGAAGGCTCTTTCAGCCAGGTTGGAATCAGTACTGGCTTTGGCTTCTAGCAGTACTCCTGTAGTATTTTCAAACCCCTGAGAAACAGCATAACTGAGAGCAGTCTGTCCTCTTTCACCCTTTCCATCCGTGGAAGCACCAGCCTTTAAAAGCATTCTTGCCAAACCGCTCTCATCTTTAAGAGCTGCCATGTGCAAAAAATTTGCGCTGGTTCCTGTAGCTTCTTGCCTCTTCTTTCAGGAGCACCTCCAGGATGTGGCTGTGGTCATTCTGCGTGGCCAGATGAAGTGGTGTCTTGCCTTCTGTATCCAAGCTGTACATGCAGGCACCGCATCAGAGAAGCACTTTGCATCACCGTGTCCTTTCTCAGCAGCCCTGTCCAGCGCTGTTCTTCCTTTCTTGTCCTTCACATCTGCCTTTCCACCTTTGTTGATCAAATCTTCCAGAATCGTTAGGTGTCCGTTAGTGGCTGCAACATGCAGAAGTGTTTCACTTGAAGAGTTTAGTGCATGGATATCATTATCTTTCCACATTTTCTCTAAGTCAGAAGGACAGCCTTTAGTGACTGCATCAAAGGTGCCAACATCAGCATGAGCTTTTCTAGGTATTGCTGCCCTTGAGAGTTGACTTTCTTTTCCTTTCTCTGTAACAGCCCATCCTTGCTTTTTCCTTCTAGGACTGCCTTTTTTTCCCTGGTGCCATTCACTGCTGTTTTCAAACCAGACCTTGTCTTTTTTGAGTAAATACCCTATCAGCTTTCTTCTAGCATCTCCAATGCTTTTGTTTACTTCATTGATGTATTTTCTCATCTTGCTATAAAGTTTAGGCTCCACTTGCTTTAAACATGGATAAAAAAAGAGCCTGCAGGCTCGCTCACCTTGAGAAATTAGCATGTCTAAAACTCGAGAGTTCTTTTGTGTTCATGTCCTGTAGAAACTCATGACCATCTTTTTCTCTGGGGTAAAAATGCCATTGTCTATAAGCCAGTTCAGAAGATGGTCTGGGTCCTTTATGCCTTCTACTAGCTCTTCCTTTTTAGTCCTTAGGACTTCAGTTGCATATGGATTTGTAAACAGGCTAGTTGAATGCATTGTCATGTTACTAATCAAAAAGTTAATTGAGCTTTTGGTGTTTGAAGTCAAATATGAAATAGCAAAGCAGGCTCACATCATTTCACACATTCTTTTCATAGAACTATGTACTGACAACCATTGTAGTTCCATGATAAACCTTCAAAGAATGAGAAGGAAATCAAAACTCCCTCACCTTTAGTCCTCTAGTTATGAGAAGTCCTTTGATCTTCTCTGTTCTTCCTTAGCAACAAGTGAAGTTTAGTAACAAAGCAAAAATCTGCAATACATAAAGATACTCCACTTGGAAGACTTCTTCCAGAATTTTACACATAACTGGGGAGAAAAAATTGCTTTTGTGAATCTGATACTTGAGCAGCAGATAGTTGTTTATCATGTTCCTCTGTTCCTCTGGCCAAGCTGGTTTTTGTAGGTGCCTAAATGACCGGTCTATTAACATGACAAAGGAAAATTCACCATATAGTTACCGTTGCCATGATTACATACCTTGTATGATCTTAAATGAAAGAGTACATGTTGCCAGCTACGTAGGTGAAAGCCCTGTAATGTAATGAAATAAAAACATAAAGACCTAGATAAAAATAAACTGTATAAGCGGCTAGTTATAAAAAGTGTTCCTGCCTTTCTAATATGAGTTACAACCTCAGTCTGTGAGGTATATTGAAGTTAAAGGCTACTGAGCTTGTAGTTCCTGCTGTAACCTGAAGTCAGTCTGGAACTTAATTCTTTTACATGGGGTGGATCAAGGCAGTGATTCAGTATGCAAATTTATAATTCAATGGAGCTTCTAATCTGTGAATATGTACAGTCTTCAATACGGGTGTCAGACCTTTGAATCTAGCTGTAATTAATTTAACTTATTGATGTTAAAATTCCTTTTGGAGAGAAGGAAATAAAATAATAATCATCTACACATTTTGAAGCCAATTGAGAGAGAAATTGAGATTACAGAGTTCTGTAAGAGCTCGAAGTGAAATGAGCTGAAAAGCTGCAGGCTTGACCGTATTTAAGCAAATGGGAAATTTTGCCGTCTTCTTGTTTCAGTGCCCTTTCCATTGGGTCCTGCTGCCTTTGCATGTGTTTTCTTTGCTAGGACCTACATTGGGACTGATAAGATTTTTAATTTTTGTTCTGTTGACTGTAGCTTTATAAGTAAGTTCACAAGGTTTATTCTATTAAAAAAAATAAAAAGATTTATTGAAAAAATAGCTGGGGAAGGCAAGACTTTTAATATATATTTTGAAAGCCAGCCAGTTGCCAAGTCAGCAAATTTGACAGCCAATTTAAGAGCCCCATAATTCCTCTGAAATGCAAAGAAGGGCACTACACCAAGAATAGCAAAACCTTTGTCATTTAGTTAATGATTGTTAATGCATAGCATGGAAAACTACAGTTTATTGTAGGGAGTCAGGAGGTCTGAACTGTGTTCCCAAATCTGCTAATTAGCAGTCTGTGATCTGCAAATTACGTAGTCTTCATATCTGACTTAACAAAGTACTGAACATGTATCCCTGTCTTGAGTAAATTAATAGTCCTCACTTAAAATTGGTGAAATGAGACCTTTATGTCATCATTATTATTGTTCCCATGCAAAACAGGGATGCTTGGTTACCTTCACAGGGAAGTCTGGAGTTTTGGCGATGCAAAATGTTAGATGAGTGCTGAGTAGTAGTGTTAATATTGGCAGCACAAGAATTTTTGGAACTCCTGAAAAATTTCAGAACAGAAATAGTGATATTCCTGAAGAGTCTGTTAGCGTGGCAGCAATTCCCTGGTGTTCTGAATACAGAAGTCTTGCTCTTAAACAGTACAAATGAAAGGGTGCAGTACTCCGAACCGGCCTGGAGGAGGAACATTTGAACAACGTTTGCAGGCAGCATCTCTTTCAGAGTCGCTGGGGGACTTTATTTTGGGAAAATAGTATGCGGCAATTACTTGTTAGTAGATGCAAATTTCAGTCTTCTGAATATAATTCTGCATTATTTAAAAGAAGTTCTTCATTATAAGCATGTGACTTATGAGGAAATTGTGTCTTAAAAGAAGAATCACATTTGACAAAATTTTGGAAGCTTGTTGTATGGATTAATTTTTAGAGATTATGTATTAAAAAAGCCTTTATACTTTAATTAATATTTTAACTACTTTCAGAATTAATCCTTTGTTCCAACAACAACTTCACAAAAAGATTAAAAACCCAAACAGTTGAGAAGAGATTCAGAATTGGCTATTTAAAGCATGCTTTCTGTTTATCTCTTTTTATCTTATTAACTATTTATTTGACATATAAATGTTTTAGAGAAGGGAAAAATATTCTGTTTCTACACCTCTTCCTCTTTAATTAAGTGCATGAGACCACAAATGCATGGGAGCATGAGGAAGCTCTTAATTAAAAATAAGAATGGCAAAATTTAGTATTACTAAAGATCTAAGAAGAAAAATCAGTGGGAGAAAGGAAGAGGCAAAACATTTGCCTTCTTGTTTATCTTTTTATTTATTGTCTGAGGGGAATAAGGAGATTTTTTTTTTCTTGCTAAGTACTTGACAGTCCACTTTTATTTCTGCTAGCTTCTTTAGCTCCATGTATCCAAGGACTGTCCCTGATTTGGCTGTTTTGAAAAGAAAGTGATGGGATTTGCTTCCGTCGTGTGTCAGGTAGCACTTCAGATCTTTGTGCTCAGCAGTGGGGGTGTGCACTAGGGATGTACAGCAGGTCAGCTTACACGCACCGGGGAAATCTTACCTTTCCTCTAGAAGGATGTAGTAAAGAATTCTGGTTGGTACCAGTGCAGGTTCAGCTTCAGTAGTATTATCAGAGAAACTTCACGCTGTAGGTGAGCTGATTATATTTCATTTCAGTGTGTTGTCAAGAAGCCTGTGCTTCATGACGTAGAAATACTGAAAATTTTTACATAAACCGCTTAAACTCTAATGTCATTGTTAAATGCAGAAGTGAGACTCTGTGTGTATGTAAGATTACCTTAATTCACGTAGATCTGTGTGGACTTGGCACGGACTTTGTGCAAACATCCTCAGGTGGAAACAACATGGTAGAGTTTAGAGCAGGCCTTGAAAAGAGGCAGGTCTGATAGACAAGATCTCTGGTCTGGCCTCAGCTGAGTCTGTGTCTGTATTGGGAACTCTTTTAATCCAGCCACAGCTGGGAGACTTGAGCCACTTCTTTCTGATGTGCCATCTGAGTTTTGCTACTAACTTGTGTCCTTGGGTAAATCACTTCATCTCTGCGCTCTGTTTACACAAGCATTAAAAAAGGATATTTTTTTCTACCTCACAGACATGTCCTAAGTGTTTATTAATGTTCGTGCAGTGCTTTGAAGTTACAGAGTGCTTTGAAGTTTTTGTCCTTTGAAGTATTGTTTTCTAACTTCTCAAAGATGAATTTTATTCTCAAATTAACACGTGCCCATGTTTTCTATCTTACGTTGCTATGTCATCATCAAATACACATTTAATTTTCTCTATTTTAATTCTCAAAGATGAAAGCAAGCCAAAATACACCTTGCACGTTGCTAAATGAAGTGTGGTGCCGTGGCCGTGGGAGTGAGGAACCTGCAGAGGTCACCATTTCTCCACCGAGGTGTTCCCACTGGAGCCTGGAGCCCCAGATCTGGTGCAGCTGGTGGCAAGGCATGCAACAGAATGCCTTCCAGGAACTCCTCGTGTTCTCTAGGGCATTTTCTTGATAAAATTGATGGAAAAGCAAGCATTCATAGCACGGTCTCACTCACCGTGGTGCTTAATGTTTCCCAACGTGTACTTCAATTTCATTTAAGATGTTTGTGGCAGTGCCAAGTTTATTTGGAACATGTCTTGCAGTAAAAAAACTAGTCTGTGAGAGATAATAAAGCCATCATCATTATCTAAACATCGTGAGGGACGGAGAAATGTATCTGGGTAATCAAGACCTTTTAATTAATAAATATGGCTCACAAATAAAGATAACCAGAAATCTAAGTGTGGCCTAGCTGGTTGAGGTTGGTCTATATTTAGGTATAGCTGGATTGAGAAACAACAGTGTTACAAGTGTTCATAGTGATGATTAGAGTGTACTTGACTTATTATAACACTGGAAGAGAATCTGACTAGTCAGAATGTCTGCAAGAGAGACAAAATATAGTGCTTAGTTTTGCCTAAAGATGAACTGCAGTAAATTAGGGAAGTCGAAAGGGGAGCTTTGGCACTGAGTGATCTTGCTTGTGTTAGTCACATTCCTGTAGAGCGTAGGCTTGGGCCCTTCTGGTGCTACAAAATCTGGTGTTCAAACGTGAGGTGTTCTCTAGAGCAGTGCCATCCTCTGAGCATGCCAATCATCAGGGGCCCGACGGGTCCTGCGGGAGGGAGAGGGGAGCTGACCTGTCCAGGCTCACGTTTTGCCTCCCAGGCCAGCTCACCAGGCTCCCATCTCACCCTCTCTGCAGCTCATT